TGAAATCGTCAACAAATGGTTTTCGGAGAATTATAACATTGCTGCAAATCAGTTTATTTTCAACAAATATTAAATCGTTTCCTGATATTTTTATGCACCTGAAAGAAGACAGTTCAACTTTCCTTGATATAACTGAAAACAAATGATTTAAATTTATAAAAATTAGCTGCTAAGATCCGTTGATATCTCATGCTTATTTGATTTTCGTACTTACAGTAACATAAAGACCCAGTCACATTAAAGCTTCTGGCCATTAAAGACCAGTTAACGATCACCGGTGACCTCTGGTCGCAGACAATCTTTAAAACGTCTTACGACGGTCATCGGTGATCTTCGACAGTCGCAGGTTTTCTTATTAAGGTCCCACGACCAATTTCAGTCGCAGAGAGGTTTTTGAGCTTGCACAAAACCCTCCCCGCGATCAAACATGTCGCTAGTGATCTTATAAGGTCTAATGCTGTTGCACGATCGTCGTTCGAAAGTCTATAATAATCTTCAACTGGTCGCTGCCGATGTCTTTGTCACAATTGATGGCGATTTACCACCAAAGGCCAAGCGTGCTAGGGTCTCTGAAAATATCTCGCACAACAAGAGCAAGTACTTGTAGAATCCACTATTTTATCACCAATCCCTGAAAGACTTCAAGAACAAGGGGAAAAGATACAGGCTACTTGAAGATAAGGCCAAAGAGCTGGATATGTCTGGTTCGTATATCACAATTAATGTACATAATACTTCAATGATTTCTGATTACTAGTATCTGACGCTGCAAAAGCAAAAACTTTTACTTTTTCATCCAACAAAAAATAAGCAGACTCATGCTTATTTTCGTTATAAGTTTTATAAATCATACCAAAAATATATCCGAACCTTCGTGCCTATATTACAATAATAATAATAATTTATAGCATTTGAAAACAAAAATGCAAGAACATAAAACAACTGCTATTTTAAGTTTATTTAATGTCTTGACTCATTCTACAGTCTCCTTGGTGCGTCTGTCATAACCATTCTGGGTTGTTTACTCCCCCCAAGGGGGTGGAATCCCATATGTATTTCAAAAATGAGCATCGGTAAAAATTATATGTGAATTTCCGCTGCACCAGTGTTATGCTTCACATCTGGTGCAGCGGTAATTCACATATAATTTTATCGATGCTTATTTTTAAGATACATATGGGGTTCCACCCCCGTGTAAGAACTCCAACCAAGTTACCATAAGAACTCCATCCTTCGTGTAACAGTTCCTTCGAATGAATTATGTAATAGTTTTCAACTTTGACACTCTATTTGAATTACAATTTAAACTTACCTTAATGAAGCAAAAATATTCGATAACGGGTGATATTTCATGTCATTTTTTTATTTTGCTATTTGTATATTGCGACTAAAAGCATTTTTATGCTGAATTGCTAAATAAATGAAGTTGTTATTGTTGTTGCTGCTGGTTGTTGTTAATTTTAATTACTCTTAAGTACCTAATCGACGTTTGTATAATTGACGGTGCGGGGTGAGCGTGAGGTCATTTAGTGTGCTATACATCAGCCTAACTTACAAGCATATTTAGAGGAGGTAACTTGTCTATGTCAACCAATAGCAAGTTTCATATACCAAAATGTATGTCCTGGCCTGTAACTACTGGAATGAATATGAATCATTTGGCTCAACATGGAAATGAAGCTGAGATATCCATGATGGCGTCAAAGGTGGCCGCAAAATCAAATCCCTAAATATTCTAGAATATGCATGTTGGCTAAATTTCTCTTCAGTTTTGTAAATCAAAGTCTTTTTTAGAAGCATTCCTTATTTAGGTTTATTGCAAATTGGTCACATGTAATTCTTATCGTCAACTGGATGTTCGTTTAAAAAAGCACTAATGATGATTTTTGTTATATCAGGGTTTTTCTATTTGAAATAGATAAATACAGAATCCCTAAAGAAAGCCCAACACGGCAAAATTGAAAATGTTGCAGGCTCGGTTTGATTGAGCCTGTTCATGGACGGAACTGGAAAGTGAAAGTTACCGTCCACGCCCCCTAGCACCGGCTTAAGCAGAATTCAACATTTAACATGAACTGGTAAAATTTAGAATTTTGAAACATCCGCAGATGTGTTCATATGGCGGTTATCATGGAACCTTCAATGTGACACGTTAGTGCCATTCCATGAAAAGCGGCATATGGTCCCCAAGTAAAAAAATGCGTGTGCCCTAAACGAGAAAACAATGGGCGGAACTAAATAAAATGGAATTTTGGAAGGGGAACTGAGGTTATGAAGCCTGCATATCACAGATAAGACGTCAAAAGACAAATTTAAAAAGCAGGCAACATATCCTAAGGGTGATTTAACATTATTCAAGTAGGAATATTGGAACCACCCATCTAGAAAATGCCAAAAAGTTGAAACTAAAAATAACACAAGCACAACAATAATGTCGTGCTGAACGATCTTCAAGGATCGAAAATATAACATCATTGATTAAATGTACGGGGAGACTTTTTACAGCCGCCACACGGCACAAATAACACGGATGTGATCATAAGATAGATAAATACAGAATCCCTAAAGAAAGCCCAACACGGCTAAATTGAAAATGTTGCAGGCTCGGTTTGATTGAGCCTGTTCATGGACGGTACTGGAAAGTGCAAGTTACCGTCCACGCCCCCTAGCACCGGCTTAAGCAGACCCTGGTTAGATACAGCTTCACGTTATTGAACTTTACCATATCTGTATATAAATGTTTTGAAATTATCTAATGACATATACAAAATGAAGTCGGTCTTATTATCCCAATACACACCAAAAAGAAACACCCCAATACTACAATTTATTGTGTTTATTGGTTTAAAGGTACGTGAATTCTTGAATGACATAATCTAAGGGGAGAAAGTACGCAGGCAAGAATAAGAACTGCTTAAGCCGGTGGTAGGGGTGTGAGGGATGTTGTACTTTTCATTATCCCTCATGTACAAGCTCAATCAAACCAAGTCTGCAATGTTCATGTTATTTTGTTGTGATTAATGCTTCCGAGGGATCATCCTTCTTCAAGATTTCTATTCTTCACAACAGCAGGTGTCAAGTGTCGTGCGGCAGCTGTAAAAAGTTGCCCCGTTCTTCAAATTAGTGTTGTTATATTTTCTGGTCCTTCGGGATCATTGATTCCAACACTTTGTGAGGGAGCATACTTCATCTAGTTTTTCTTTCTTTCGAAATTGTACGTTACTTACATAACAATTTTAATATGTGGGACTTCATAACAGAATATTATATTTTAAATAACAGGCCATTGAATCAACAGCACAATATGTCTGATTTCCATTTGAAACTATTTGACACTAGTTTGCAAACTATTTGTCTGACAAAGTAAATACGTCATGTAATAGCTCTGATAAACATCATCTGATTATTTCAAAGATATTGAAATATTTCTCATTTTCATAGCCAGACTCAACACGGTAATCATTCAATTTTAGTATTTTGATAACTGAAAACCGTGTAAATATTAATAGACACAACATACAATGTCCATCATTTATAAGCTAAAAATAAAGAAAACAACGCAAATTACGTTTGATTATAATATTTTAATCATAATGTAAAAATATTTAAATTCCAAAAATTCTTCTATCTCTGTTCATCTATTGGCCTTCATCTGTGGAAATATCTGAAACAAAAAATAAATTAATAAATCGTAAGAAGTCTGTGATTGTTGTTCACACATAAGCAAAATAAGTCATAAGGTTTCCAGTAAGAAATATTTCATCAAATAGCAAATAATTATATACATATACTCTCATAAAGAATAAAGTTTGCTTTCCTTGTCGATCTTGTTTGTCATATTTTGTTTTAAGGTAGTATTTAGTAGTTACCTTGAATGAAGTCCACTTCTGCAATAGACAGACAGTATTCCAAATGACGATTCATCGTCATCGTCGTCAATGATTTCTTCAAGTTCATCAGGTTTAACCTCATCTTGTTTACTGTCGTTCTTCTCATTTGTCTCAAAATTATCAAAGAAGATTTTTCCGGATGTATCATCATGTTTGGCTGGCTTCAATTTGTGACTGTCCAAATCTTTTACGGCAGGATACTCGGTGTTCAAATGCGATGATGTGATCGCCACATTATCAAAGAAGACGTTTTCGAATGAATCAATGTGTTTGACTGGCTTTAATTTATAACTGTCCAAATCTGTTACGGCAGGATGTTTTGCGTTAAAATACGATGATGTTGTAATTATGTCCATTTCCAGTGTTAAAAATTCATATTTCAATGAAGTCGTAGCTGTCAGGGTTAGCAACGTGCTTATGTGGTAATAACTTTTAGGTTTGCGTTCATCTGTAAAGTTTGCTAGAGAGTTAGGTAAACGTGACATTTCAGCTTCTCTGCCAAAATAGAGTATAGGTGTAAAATATAAACCAAATACAGACAGTGTTCTTGGGCATGAAACTCTATTGTAACGCAAAGCTAGGCTGAATATTCTTTTAAAGTCAGAAGCCTTGGATTTTCCGATGTCTAGTGTTCTCGATTTATTTTTATTGTCTGTTTGTAGCTGCTGATTATTAATAAAGTCATCAGGCATATCGGACTTTTGTGTAGTTGCAATACACTTGTTTACAGGAAGATTCTCACATTTACTAATGTGATCGCCAACTTTATATTTTGGATTGCTCATGAGAAGGGACACTTCTGCAGGTTTGAACTTAACTTCATAGAACGCCATGTACTTTTGCTTTCTGTTCAAACCAATAAATGGAGAAGGTTCAAGTAAATGTGGTAGCAAACAGCCATTGATCAACTTCTTTCTTTTCAAAGAAAAGAAATAGGCATTGCTCGTATGTCTCTTTTGGAATAAAATAGAGAAAAACAGAATCCCTAAAGAAAGCCCAACACGACAAAATTGAAAATGTTGCAGGCTCGGTTTGATCGAGCCTGTTCATGGACGGTAATGGAAAGTGCAAGTTTACTTGTCGATCTTGTTTATCATATTTTACCGCCCCCTAGCACCAGCTTAAGCAGAACTCAACATTTAACACGAGAATGGTGACATTTTGAATTTTGAAACATCCGCAGTTGTGTTCATACGGCGGTTACCATGGAACCTTCAATGTGACACAGTAGTACCATTCCATGAAAAGCGGCGTATGGTCCCCAAGTAAAATAATGCTTGTGCCCTAAACGATAAAACAATGGGCGGAACTAAATAAAATGGAACTTGGCATTGGCTTTATGTCGTCTGCTTTTGTTTGTGTTACCAGTTTCTTGACTGTTGGCTCACCAAAGAAGTGATGCATTGTTAAGGAAGAGACTTCGCTGCAATGGATGGTTTTTGAATCGCGCAAAATAACGTTATTAAGCATCAGAGAATTTAAATTTTCACATTTTTTATGTTTCACCTGTTGAACATCATCACCATCATCATCAGCAACAGCTGCATTAGCATCATCATCATCAAATAATATAGATAAATACAGAATCCCTAAAGAAAGCACAACACGGCAAAATTGAAAATGTTGCAGGCTCGGTTTGATTGAGCCTGTTCATGGACGGTACTGGAAAGTGCAAGTTACCGTCCACGCCCCCCTAGCACCGGCTTAAGCAGAATTCAACATTTAAACATGAAATAGTAAAATTTTGAATTTAGAAACATCCGGCGGTTATCATGGAACCTTCAATGTGACACTTCCGTGCCATTCCATCAAAAGCGACGTATGGTCCCCAAGTAATAAAAAGCGTGTGCCCTAAACGAGAAAACAATGGGCGGAACTAAATAAAATGGAATTTTGAAAGGGGATCAGAGGTTATGAAGCCTGCGTATCACAGATAAGACGTCAAAAGACAAATTTAAAAAGCAGGCAACATATCCTAAGGGTGATTCAACATTATTCAAGTAGGAATATTGGAACCACCCAACTAGAAAATGCCGAAAAGTTGAAATAAAAATACCACAAGCACAACAATAATGTCGTGTTGAACGATCTTCAAGGATCGAAAATATAACATCATTGATTAAATGTACGGGGAGACTTTTTACAGCCGCCACACGGCACAAATAACACGGATGTGATCATAAAATAGATAAATACAGAATCCCTAAAGAAAGCCTTTCTTCATGAACTGGACTGTCTTGAGCTGGTGTGTCCACTGACATTTGTTTAGTGCTTGTTATTTTGTCTGGATTTACAGCATTTCCAGGTAACTGTTAGATTTTGGGTATTTGACTTTTGGGTTCTCTAGATGACGAAGGAAAGCGTCAACGCTATTACAAAAAACTTTATAGGAAGTGCTAACCTTGGGGGCTTGTCTTCTTGCAAACTTTTCTTCCTTAAACTGATTTTTTAAATTCTCAATGATGTAATCCCTCCGACTTTCTATCGCAGATTTATCTGGCATCTCTGATCGACTCCATTCAATATTCGCCTCGTCATCTTCTTTTCTCTTGATCCTTCTCCGTTCAAGAACGCTAGTAAATCTTTTGGGTGACTCTGATTCTATCTTTATTTCTGTATCCATGTTTGAAGTATCTATTAAAATATAAAGAAACAATACCTATATTATCTATGTTGAAATACAATACATACTGTAGAAGATTATATGAATGCAAATTACATTAATTGGCATCTTTATCACCCTTGAAATTCTTGAATTATAATAATAAAAGCATAGATCAGTTAGTTAATTAATAAATTCATTCATTCATCTATTTATTCAACTGAATAGTGATAAATAAATATCAAATTATATATAAAAAATAATAATTTAAAGTTAGCTGTCAAGTAAAATACGTATAAAATGTATTTAATAAGCAGACTGTGTGAAATTATGACATTTCTTCAAAATAGTGTGTAAGAAAATAATTATCGCGGTATTTTAGCTAGATAAATGACAGAATAAGTCTATCTAGATTTTCTAATCTTAAAAAAAATCTTTTTTAGAAATATCGCAAAATAATAACAATAGATCTACTCCCGATCAAGCAATTTTGACCATCATTGGGGGGCTCTCTGTCAGGAAATATAAAAAATAAAGTACTAGTGATACGCCTTAGTAATAACAAAGATGACTATGCAGCTTTATCTGTTATTTCTACCAGCATAAATTGTCATCTAACTTATCAAATGATGAAATGAAATGAAACACCATCAATTAGGACTGGTATTAAATAATAATTACCTTTATCCATTAATAAAGATGATATATCTCTCTTTTCTCGCTGTATGATTAAGCTTGCTTGTCTCTCTTTAATGTCGCTTCTTGTGCCTATAGCGACAACGTTAATTTTTGACGTCATAATCTGTGACGTCGCTAACGTCAGGCAGCTTAGTAGATTGAGAAAAATAAAATAAATCAACCATGTTTTATAAAGAATCCCCTTATTTAACGTCTTCATGCTTTTAATTGAAGTGTGCATTTCTGTAAGTTGATTATCATATGAGCTACATTCACCGAATAGTAATAGATGCTGTCACTGTCAGCTGAGGTTAAATATTTGCTATAAGATTTCCGTCTTTGAACGGACAATGAAACCGGAAATTTGGACATATAGTATGTGCAGTATTTGTAAGGCATGTTATTGACAAGAGGACCATGATGTCCCTGGATCCTTCACCTGAGAAATATTGTTAAAGCGATCACAAATCTTTAATACATTAGTAATTGTCTTTTTTGGCTCATGCTACATAATTTATGAAATATTTTGAAAATGTTCGCTAAGAGATGCTACATGCCGAATATGTAAGTTTGAAAAACAAGAAAACTTAAAGGTATTTTACACAAGAAGACTAAAAATAGTTGACATAAACTGGGCCAATTTTGATGCATTGGCATTATTTATACCACTTTTGTAGAGGACAATAGAGCAGTCGAGGAGTATCAAAGAAAAATCACCGCACCACGCGATAACTGTATTAAATAGATGTTCACTCAAAAACACAAATATTTGCTTAATGGTTACCATGCAGTGATATACAAGTAAACCTCCTCAAAAGAACTATCCCATAAGAATTATTCTACTCTAGTTCGCGTAAACAACGCAAAATCAAATGAATATTTTAAATGAAAATGGTACCAATTCAAAGATGCTTCACATTACTCCCCTATTAAGCAGACAGTGCAGTCGAGTGAATAATTAGTTAATAAATTAATGCATCACGGCATAAAAAGGGAATGATTGCAGTACATATGACGCCAAAAAATCAAAATAATCAAGGCCTTCCCACTATATCTACGTATTTTCAAAACCTTTCGTATGCAGAACGTCTTTTATCTCTTTCGATATGGATACTATGTTATTCAAGCTCGTCTCATGAAAATGTGTCTGTTTCGGATAATACTTTTTATTTCAGAATGATACACAAAAGAATAACTTATAGATTGCTTTATAAAAGTGATGCGTAATTATGTTGCTAATGTTATATTATGCACATATGGATCTCTTCAGCACATATGGAGCTCAAATGCAATTTTGAGCAGCGATTCCCTTCGTTTGCAGCCAAATCTCAATAAATGTTTAAATCAGGATTTGTCTGAATGTTAAGCATCGGTCTGTAGTAAAATTTTGTAAAATCTGAGTTTTTTTTAATCCGTTTTGTGACATTTTCTTCATTCACATTGCATGTTTTTGAGACACCAGAACCCACGACGGAAAGAATATCTCGATGAAGACTGCATAGAAATCCAAAACAAAAATGGGTAATATAGAGGAGAGTCAGGAGGGTCGAATCACATTTCGATTTTCTTAAAAAAAAATGATTGAATTTTATATAAATGTTTAAAAAGATGAACACTTACCCGGCGATTGACCTATTTTTTACAGACACATCTGGTGTTATGCTTTACATCTGGTGCAGCAGAAATTCACATATAATTTTTACCGATGCTCATTTTTTGAGATACATATGGGGTTCCACCCCCGTGCCCCCGCTACTGTGATAAATGTAAATGTTTCACTGTAAAATCCTTATTTAAACCTCCAATCCATCATAGTGGGGCGGGAAATTGAGAAAATAGTGCAAATTGTGATACAAGCATGAAACTTTCAGGAAATCATCTTTAGACCATGTAGATTTCAAAAGTGAAGTGGGCCCAAAAATATCTCTGCTCATTCAAGATGGCCGCCATTTTCAAAATGGCCGCCATATAAATTTGAGTACTTTCTAGCTCATTCATTCCAATTTTTTTTACAGACCTTTAACTAACACCAAAAGCATGCATATAATTTCTCCATTTCAAAAATTTAAATCTCAAAAAATTTCTCTTTCATACTTCTTCCAAATCAAAGATGGCGTCCAATATGGCCGTCGTTTTTGTGCAAAACTGTTATATCATTTTTATAGTATAATTTGTTGCACAAATTATGCTTATTATGATAAAAAAAGTGTTTAAACATATCAGAGATAATCAAATTATATGTTAAGCTCAATAAAAGTAAACATTTTAAAAGTTTTTGTCTAAAAATATCTTTAAAAAAGATCAAGAAAAAATTCCATTTTTTTCAGATCAAGAAAAAATTCCATTTTTTTCATATTTTTCAAATTTGATTTTCTAAAGTAATGTACAAAGTTAAAAAAGTTATTTTATATCTTAAACTGTATTTGACATTCCATTAATATCATGTGCTTATTGTAAAGAATGTAAGAAAAGCATTAAATCTGTAGGTTTTATATTTTGTGAAAGTGGGTGGGGTAATTTTATATGATAATTGTGAAAGAAAAAATAACAGAAAATCTACATAGCTAAGTTTATTCTATTTCTTTGCCTTTTTACTTTTCTATGAATTCTTATGCAAATGTTCCAACTTAAAAAGTACTTTTTATTGAATGAAAGTATGTTTGTCTTCCTTCGAGTCATTTGGTGGGTGAGCAAGAAATGCACATACAAACATGTGTATACATTCAGTTATTAAATTTGGTTGCATGATAATTCTTGTTTCAATATATTTGATATCATATATTAATTGTTAATCGTAAAGACATATAAGAAGACAATAAATCAACTAAACGTGCTTAAAATAGCAAACATGTTCTTGAATGTAAGGTATAAAGGTAGTCCAGAAACGCATATTTTTGACTCCTCCACAATTTTATATTTATAATATAAACATGGCTTAAAAGCCAACAAAATGTATGTGATGTGAAACATATATATCAATGATATGGCCTGGCCTGCATGCAACTTTTTGAAAAGTTAAGATACAAACTAAGTGTACTAGTATTTCCTAAAGTAATCATATCTTATTTTTTTCTTTCAATAAGAGGGTAATGATGACCCTGGATCACTCACCTAAGATCATTGTTGGAAAAAAGGTAACAAGATCATTTTGGGAGTGTCAATTATGTCATAACACACATGATTTGTGTCATAATTGAATCCGGTTGCTTTTAAAGAAACATGCTCAATATCTGCTTTCAAATTTTTATTTCACACGAGAGAACTTTAATAACCATATCTATATACGAGTCCATATAAACTTAGTGACCTTTTGTGTTTGGTAAATTTGGACCATGTTGTCCATGATAAATCATTATTATAACAATATGATGATGCATGATTAATGTATATGCGTCGGATAGTGTAGGCTAAGAGAAAACAGATTTATTACAGTAGTCTTTGAAAATTAAGTGATACCATTGCAAAACCATTTTAGACTGCAGTAGCATCATACAAATTTATGCATGTTATATCAGTCTACATCCCAAATATCTTATTTCAAGTCAATGAAGTTTAACACTAGATGTTTTTAATATGTTTTCCTAAACATGTCTGTGAACCCAGGTGGCTCTATGAGTATGATTCATTAAATGTGTTAATAAAGACCCAAGGTGGTGCTACATGCCAGCTTAGTACCTGTGCTCTATGCATTTTGATTTTTGAGAAGATTTTGTTTATTGCATGTACACTTAATTATACAAAAGTGTTTTATGTAACTTTTAAAGAGGTCTTCTTTACTTGGCAAGGTTATATTTTGACTATCTAAGCTCTAGGCATTACAGTTTGTTTGTTTGTTGATTTTTTTTAATAACATCAACAATAAAACAACTTCAATGCGTTTCCCTACACAAGTCTTTAAAAACTGTATTCCTCGTGAGGGCCTTTAAATCATGCTCCTGCAGTCCAAAATGGCTTTCCCTGTCACTTAGTTTACATTGACTTTTATCTTAAAATTCTTCTCCGAAACTATGTGCACAGAGAAGAGAAAATATCGTATATCATAACATTGTGATGCTATATAAAGATTATAAACTATTGGCATAGGGTCAAAATCACTTAGTGTACATGGACTCTTATTGGAATATAGTTATATGAGTCTTCTTGTAGTTCTGAGAGCCTAGTTATTGGACATGATTCTTTAAATCATGACTGGTGAAAAAAAGATACTCCTTATATGATTTTAGCATTCTTCAGTATAAAAGAATTATAGACCTTTTCCAGCAGTGGGTCTTAGGCGCGTGATCTAGGGTTAACAATGCTCTCTTGTTTTATGGGAAAAATAAAGTAGGAATACATTTAGTTTATATTCCAAAGTATAAGCTATGTTTGTTACGTGGGTCAAGCGGTTTTATTGATACCTATTTTAGATACCTAGTCATTAGATAATATGATGTATCAGTCGCCTAAATTTTTGTTTCTTTTGAACATATCATGTCTACATAAGTTATTAGAAATGGACGGTACTTATTCAAGTATACTTGGTTACAATGATGTGCAAGTAAATATAACTTTGAATCATTCTGTTACAAGCTTTTAGCAAGACTAAATTGTGCAGGAAATAATTGTATTCATAAATAGACAACTTTTCACTAAGGTCCAGGCATGATTTTATCTAACATATGGTTCGTTGATGAATATTCAGTCTTCTTTCTGTACAATTATCAAGTTATATTATGACTATTGAAACAACTTATATCATGCAAACACATTTAATAACTGAATGTATACATATGATTGTATCTGCATTTATTGATATTTTAGTACACCCTCTAGACCTGAAGGAAAACAAAAATACCTTAATACAATAAAATACTTTAACAGTGAATATTTGCATAAGAATTCTTAAAAAACGTTATTTTGTACTACAATTGTCTGATAAATTTACCCCACCCACTTTTAATAAGTATAAAACCTTCACAGTTTTGTTTGTTTTTGTTACAATTATACAATAAAACATAGTGTTGATTGAATATCAAATACACTTTAAGAAACTATGTAACTTTTGGAATTTTGTACATAGACCTAGAAAACCATGTTAGAGA